AAATTCCCTACCATCCTAAGTGCACAGTCAAAAACGCTAACTGGCCTAGACACACTCCCTTTAACAACTTCTTTCTGGTAGTGTTTAGGGGGCATGGCGGCCTCCTCACGCATGGAATACCTACCAGTCGTAACGTCGCGCGCAGGAGTCTAATACTGTCCGCTGTAGCAATAAAATACCATACACGTAAAGCCACCCACACCGACATCATGTTCGGACATCTCCTGCAAAAGAACAAGCCATTGTAGCCGAAGCCAACAAGCCAAAGTACATGACCCGCGCGGATCTATCTCGGCATTCATCTTGAACGCACCTACCCGTGAACACCCCTCCGCAGACGCTGTGTTCAGCACGATTAAAGCGGCATTGGCTTTGAGATCAACCCTCCTCGCTGATGCTGCTTGATAATGGGGCCAACCCTTCTCATGGCTGAGGGGCTCATCGGAGTTGGGCTGTTAAACACACCCAGCTACAGCTGCGGGCAGCTACAGCCTCTTGGCTAAGCCAGACGCGGCGCAGCGTTGTTTCTCCTGCTGCCACTTCAGCAAGATGTTTGAGGATTCTGGCCAGCGTCTCGCGTCTTCGGCCCAGCCGCTTGTCCGGCCTTGTTTCTCTAAGTTACCTCGGTAAACTCGACCTGCGCGTCTCGCCCATGTCACTCCTCTGCTGGGACCGAATCCGTCAGCTCGGGTCGGGTCCCGTCACCCCTCTGCTGGGACTGAACCCGTCAGCTCGGGTCGGGTCCCACTGTTCGAGTGACACCCACATCGCGATCGGGCCCAGTAAAGGATGAGACCGAGCTTGTTACTTCAAGTTCAGTCACGCTCACCATGTAAGGATGGCATGAACATGACACATATGTAAGCATGAGTACATATGGCTATACATGAAATGGGTATGCATGCAGCCTCATGCAGCTTGAGTTTAAACGCACGAGAATCGCATGACAGCGTCCCTAGTGTCCTTCTGCGGACAGAAGAATTTAGCTCAGTCGAAAATCGTTTACAACTTTGTTTTAAAAAAATAACAGACCAGTCGTTAAAGCACACTGAGCATGACAAACATCTAAAGCCAAAGCTAGACTTCCCATCCGTACCAATACTTGCCCTCCTTTCAACCACTAGTGAACCAAATCACCTTCCAACACTCTCAAATACGTTACAAATTTTCCCAAACTTTCGACAAGAGCGTCCGAAGTTCCACAGGCTCAGTACGGCATGGGAAACTTTTCGAACTGTTCAACACATAAACACATAAAAGGGACTTTACGACGGGAGTTGACGTTCACTTAAAAATGCAGCCGTCCGTCAAGTCAAACAGCAGGTGTTCATACTGCAGTGCTGTGTGTACGTGTGCGTACGTATGTGTACGTCGGTGCGTACATGCGCGGGCGCAGTACAGGCAGCGGGCGCTGCTGAGCCGGAGCCGCCGCTCGGCAGCTCATGTTTGGCACAGCTCATCTCATCAGCCGTCGTTTTCTCCGGTCGCCCAGCTGGTGCAGCGGTGGCAGTTTTCACCCGCCGGCTGCGGCCGTGCCAGAGATTGCAGCGCGGCCGAATGATGCGGTATCATCCGCACCCTGCGCGGAACACGACGGGAAACTTCATCTCCGTACGGCAATACACCAAGTCGCTTGGCTACACTCCCGCTAGATGAATCGGTGCTATTATTGTAAACCACTACATCGTGGAGCGAATTGGTCTGTTAATTCCATAGATGTCTAGTGGCACTAGCGGACCGCTAGCCGATCCAGCGGAATTACGCGGGTGATCCAGCGGGATCCGGCGGGCGGTCGCTAGCCGATCCATCACTGGCTGCTTCTGAGCGCCTCCAAGGCTGACTTGACCCCCACCCCTCTAAGAAAATAACCCTCTGAGCTTTCTCAATGCATAAAGCAAAAAGCGAATACTGGGCCAAAGATATCTAGGGAAGTTCTTGGTGCACTAAATACCTAGACGCATCCTCATCAGGATCAGGTCCATTTTCTACCAGCCTGTATTCGGCAGCTTCCTAACGTTTCTATCATGCCAAATCAAACGTTTTATATGGCAGGCCAGTCTGCACGCGTTTCACAGGTTCTGCGCATGGCAACAACCGCGTTGAGATACAAAAAACAAATGACAACAATATGTCGCATCTTTGAAAAGTATAGGGAGGCCCAAACAAAAATTAACCCGTATTTTCTGCAACAGTAGCAAGTGTGTTTGTCGCATGATCGTCTCTGTGGTGACAGTCGGCTGACAAATGATTGGCAATACACGATCGGCGACCGCAGTAGCCATCAGTGATTCCACATAGGTCAAATTGTGACAACAAATGGCGTTCCAGATGGGCCATTTCGCGGTCCAGGATGGGCAGCAGCTGAGCCTGCTGCGGGTAGATGATTGTTCGAGTTCGTTGTCGACGGTGATGCGCCCCATTTTGGAACCGACAGCATATATTTTCAAAGCTTGCTTTATTTTAACATTGGGGATGTAAATCAAAGCGGCCGAAATAAGGGGAGAAATAGGGATTCACGGGCAGGTTACGGGTTACATTAACCTTATCGCTTCAGCCCCCCCCCCCCCCGAACCGATTTTAGAAAGTGGCACCCGTGTCTGGGAAGCAAGAATTGTGCAACCAAGATGAACGGCAGCAAATCCCGAGAACCACTAGCAACAGGCGGGTAACAGACTACGGCAATCACGTCCAATGCCTTGAATGTCGTGTATGCATGCTTCCCTGTCCTTAATTCACCGGAATTCGCATGACTCCAAACTCTAGCTACAAAGTGCAATTCCAGCTGTCACTTTTAAGTAAATTTGGCGTGACAAAATAACCTAAAGCATGTCTTTACTTAGGTCGGAAGTAAAACACATGTTGGAATGTCTCAAAATACCCTACAATATTGCTGTCATGCGTCTTTTCCGTATTTTTACTTTTCAGCCCCCAAAAAAGCAAAGCAACCACATGCATGTATATTGGAGCTACATGCAGGTGGCAATATTTGAGGACAGATGGCCTAAAAATGGGCTCCACGGACGGCATACACATGGTGTACAGCTCGCGGCGCAGTAGTGATATCACAGCAGCGTGAGGGTACGGTCCGCCAAAGCATCAGCCGTGTATGGCGTCCGTTATTCTGCATCGGTTGTAGTTGAAAAGACATTGCAGGGTTACGCATCTTTCCTCGTTCTGAGCCCTGCAGCATTGCAGCTGTTGGGTCGGTCGGACGCGTTTTAATGATGCTAGTGAACAAGGTGTGAGCACCGCCAACTTTCCGTACCGCGACATACCGGTGGTCGATGCCGAATCCGTACTGATGTTGGAGAGTGCCTGGATTGGCAATACTGAGATATTGTCCGCACAGGTGGCTGCTGGCCTGTGTGGGGCAGACTGAATGCTGAACTGTGCCGATGCCAGCGCCAACGAAAACTCTAGGCACTTTTGATACGGTGATCACACGTCTATCCTGATGTGGACAATGCCGCGCGTCATACATCGTCCCGCCATGTCGGGGCAATGTTTAAACGAAATGAGAAGAAAACGACATATTATGCCCCCCGAAAAATGAGTAAGGAGACAAAACAGCAATGCCAAACCCATGCTGTGTGACATTGCTGTTTGCTGTGTGCACCAAAAAGCCATAACTACGCGATGTGTCGATATCCAAACAAAAAAGGCGTGGACATTAAGATACAACATGTCCCTATAAACATATCGTATCGAATCGGTTGCTGTTCATGGCTTGTCCGTAATTCAAAGCCACAACGACCTGTGCTGGCACACCACCTCTGATCGTTTATCAGCACATCAGGTGTCCCCGAGCTCCACCGCTCGGACCGAGCCCAGTTTTCGGCAGCACTCCGGGTTCGGCCGGACGCGCCGCAGGCGTTCGCCGGTGTTCCACGCCCCAGGTCCGGTCGCTCCCAGCTCGTCCGCGTTCCGCTCATGCCGAAGAGTCGCGCGCCCGCCGTCGCCGCCGACGACGCGCGACTTTGCCGCGCCGGCGGCCGGCGGCCTGATTGGGTCGCCAAGTTCCGGCGTTAAGTTCGCGCGCCGATTAGCGGCAGCTCGTCGACTGCCGAGCACTCGCCGGCTGCATCGGGATCGCGGCTAATACGGCCGCACGGGAGGCGGTCGATGGGAGGCGCGACAGGCGCGAGGCTGCGCCCCGGCCGGCCGACACCCGACCTCAGGCGGGATCGGCCGACGGCGGCGCCATCACGGCCATCAGACCAGATCGGGATTCGTATCGGCGTCGCGGCGCCCGATGCATTCTGAGAAACGACGGCAGTGCCGGAAGCCAGAATTGGAGGTGACGTGGTTACCATTATGGTCGAGACCACGCCTTGAAGGTCGCTGGGATTCATTTCTGTTGTGGTGGCATTTTGCAGTCAAAACACACAACAAATCGTCCAATCCACTCAGACGTGACAAGGGCCCAGACACCACCGACCAAAGTGGTAGCTGCGCCCATGGTCACCATCGATTTCACATCGCTGCCCTTGGGAACGACCTACATCCTGCCGTGGCGTGCACCGTTGAGAGAAGATAAAATATGGACTGTTTTCACCGACCGACCAGCATACACGAGACTGAGGCATTGCATAATACATCACTGCATGAAAGCATGCACGTTCACACAGCATGATGCAATTTTAGGTGCCTTAAACTAGCATGTCATGCTCTCAAAGCGCAATCCAATATATCGCGTCCCGAGCTTAACAAAGCTTTTAACCTGTTTTCAAATTTATGGTATTTTCATGGCATTTCTTACGCATAAATTTTCCGTTAACTACGAGAAGAAAGCAGCTTCAATTTTAAAACAATGCCACGAAAGTACGCAAGCACTTCGTTCAGATATTAGGAAGCATGCCGCCACTGGCAAAACACGTTACCAGACCAAACCGGCGACGCGCGCTAGCTATCCCGCGGACGGGTGACGGGCGCGGCCCGGCGAGCCGGCGTGCGCCGCTCCTCCCGCCGGCCGGGCTCCTCGCCGGCGGACCGGTACTCACCGAACACGCCAGCTAGCACCTGGTTGCGGAGGCTGCCGGCGGCCGGCGCCGCGGTGCCCGGGGCGTCCTGGGACCCGCTCATGGTCGGCCGCTCTGTCGACACCGGCGACAGCAGTGGCTCCGTGTCGGACGACGCCGACCGCCCTCGCCGTGACGCCATATCTTATCCTGCCAACGGACACACGCGCAGATAACGGCACGCCCACCACAGCGGCGCCACGCCCGCGCCGCGACGCCACATGACGCGATGCAGCGAGCGGCGCGGCTAACGCGACAAACGACACGGTCACGCGCTACACGTGCGGTCACACGGCGACCTGGGCGATCACACGACAAACGACACGGTCACACGCTACACGTGCGGTCACACGGCGACCTGGGCGATCACACGACAAACGACACGGTCACACGCTACACGTGCGGTCACACGGCGACCTGGGTGATCACACGACAAACGACACGGTCGCACGCTACACGTGCGGTCAAACGGCGACCAGGGTGATCACACGACAAACGACACGGTCGCACGCTACACGTGCGGTCAAACGGCGACCTGGGTGATCACACGACAAACGACACGGTCACATGGCGCAAGCACACAGCAAACCTGCGCGATCCTGAGCGATCACGCAGCAAACGTCACGGGTAGCGCGGAAAGCGTAACTGTCACACTGCAGGCGTCAAGGTCAAACGGCATAGCTAGCGGGCGACACAAGAAACGCGTCGCACAGGAAACATAGCGGTCACGTGGCGTCACGGGTCAAAAAGCGCGGGTCACCGATCAAACGAGACGTCACGCTGCAAGGTGCAAGTACGCACTGACGGAAGGGAAGCTAAATTTTTTGTTCAAATGTTAAAGCATTTCAGTTAATAGTTGTTATGCTGAGCTATCGATCTCAAATATATCAGGAGGCACTGGCTAAACGACGTTACAGAGCAGACGATCTTCGGAATATCCACCCACAAGGCCAAGTATCGGTATTCCTGTTGAAAACGCGTCGCAACTGTAATAAAGGAGTCGTGGATCCAAGCAGAGGGCGAACAATCTTTCCTAACGGTCGCAGATGGGGCAATATCCCTTGCTGAGAAGTCATTAGTACTACATTATGCAGCACACATCTCTGTGAAGGCTGTATGCAAAAATATGGGCCTGGATGCCAATATTGTTTACCCCACTTTCAGACACCACAGGCAGCCGAACGTCTTAGTTTTCCTAGATGTTTAAAGGTCACAAACGAGGTTGCGCTGATAAGTTTCTAATGAACTTCAGCAACCAGATTCCGAAGATAAATCTCAGTATGAATTCTGAGCAGACCTTCACTAGGTACGGAAATGCGCAAGAAATTCGTTGCCCGTCAACCACATGCCAGCGATTGGAAAGTCCCTGCTGGGATGAGAAGACCTGTTCGGAGTTTACAAGCCGTCCGTTCCTACGACGGTGGAAGAGCCGAGACCGGCCCGGACCGGTTAAAAACACTAGAAGAACCTCACCAGGATGTGTGCCAAGAACCGGGCCGATCAGCCAAACACGATTATTCAGCATTGCATTTCAGACCCGAGCCATTCGTTTAACCCAACTTACGGCGCAACCGGGCGGTTAGTTTGGAAGATATCAGGCTACGGCTAACATGTCTGCCACCGGACCGGCAATGCCATAAAACATTCGATATTCATGGCATTGAAAGGCGAGCAGATCACGCAAGAAAACACTAACTGAAACTCTAAGATGCGAGAAAAACAGACAATTTCCCGAAACTGCGGATATATACATACATATATATATATATATATATATATATATATATATATATATACAAGGTTGCTGGACTAGTAAAAAGGCTACTTCTGGATTAATCAAATAACTGGACAGGCTAAAGAGAACAAATAACACAACTTTTGTCTTTGGTGACTTAAACATCAAATTATTCAACTTACTGAATGCAAGTTTTTACCCAGACTATTTTAACTTACTTGCATCTTCTAGCTACCGGTCAACTACATCCAAAACAACTCGAGCAGCAGGTGGTAAATGCGCACTTTTAGATAATACCTTCTGTAACGACCATGAAATTGCTTCGAACGCTGGCTCACATATGAACACATCTGATCGCTTCGCCACGCTTGTTTCCTGTGTTCCTCTGCCAAGTTCAGCAGGGAAAGAAGTGCGGCATACGGTATTTAACAGGGAAAAGTTTGCGGATTTATTCATGAACCCTTCTGAGCATTTGATTCAGCCCACACAGTCCATATATATATATATATATATATATATATATATATATATATATATATATATATACATATACATATATGGTATGTCATATATAAATATATATATATATATGTATATATATATATATATAACATACCACGCATGTATGACAATATCGAGCCTGTTCTCCGAATTTGAATATCATTTCTTGCTTAACCTTGTTCACGCGTGACTACGAGCACTGTCCCAAAACGTCCAAGTTTTCATATTATGCACAGATAGCATAGTTTGCTTGATAACATTAACCAGCGCCACATAGCAAGGTAATATTGTTAACCAGTGCCACACAGCAAATGTAAAGTCAGTTATTCACAGCATGATAACCAAGAAAAATCCGTGGGTGCTATTCAAGCGAACTAGCTTATGTGTCACTTCCAATCAGCCGCACAGTAGATGAGCTTCTAACACATCGCTTCAGCCGACATCACGCATTTAGCAGGCGAATCCTACCACGAAATATGAGCCGTGGAACTATCCTGGTACCAACCATCTTTGATGACAAGCCCAGACTCGTTTTACGGAGCTAGTCGGAATATGCAAGAAGCATGAGCTGTGGCTGCTGGCAATCGGCTGATTGCCGCACATCGACCGGGCCCGGACGGGCGAAGCGGCTGGCTGCGTGTGCCTGTTCTGATGGTGACACCTGGCACCAGACATACGTAGATTTTCTATTGTCAGCGTAACTAGGCATAATCAGAACAGACATCGATCAACGGTATTTACAGGAGACTATTTCGCTAATGCGTCAGCCAGCCACCACGCACTGACACTGCCCCGCAAGCTAGCACGCACCAATGCAATTTGTCATATTTCTTCTTTATGTATTGTACGTACCAGGGGTGCAGTTCTGTAGGGGGGGGGGGGGCCTCCAAAACCCATCCCCAAATATGTAGGACAATGTGGATCAAATCAGAGAAAAAGCGCTTTGGGGTGTATTTTGGGAGCAGACTTAGACCTTTTCCTTTGCTCAGCGCCCCCCCCCCCGCCCCACCAAATTATTTTGCGAAACTATGCTCCTTGTCGGTATATATATACATATATATATATATATATATATATATATATATATATATATATATACATGCATCAGCTGTACATCCCCCAGTGGTCTTCACCACCAAACGGCCAAACATTTTCTATGTGTACCAAATTGCAACCTCCTGAACGCTTCCACTTACAGCTTTTCCAGAGTTATTGTATCCGCCCCTCCTCCAGGCGTACAGCGCAAACAACGCGCATTATTGCGGCCGTCAGCCCAGCGGCTGGCGCTGCGACGGCTCTTTCCCGCTCAGCAGTGCGGCGACAGTGATAAATGGACGGACGGCCGGACGTGCCGGCAGCCACTCGGACGCCCTGGACGACACCATATGAATTCCCGGGGGCCGGCGGCACAAGTGGTGCCGCGCGCCCGTCCGTTGTTCCACGCGACCTGCGCTCGTGCGCAGTCAGACTGCGCGAGATTATTGTCATCGGATGGGTGGAGAGATACAGGCGACCGGGAGTGCCAATATAACGCCGGAAGCGCTGCTGTCTGTCCGAGTAATCAGAGCGTGCGTCACTCGCTTCGACTGACTCGATGCACTGATGACGGTCCTGACCAGGTCAACATGGAGCGTAATGAGGACCAGCAACGGCACGAAGGTAGCTGGACATATCTGCTGCTGCGCAACTCCCTTGTGAGGCCTAAGGGCGCATCTATTCCTCAGTCATATAGCTACTTCTTACTCTAGAACATAAGCCAATGGCACAGCCGGTTAAAAATTTCAGCGAATCCCAGTCACTGCTGGGACCCTTGCCGCAAGAGCGGGTAACCGAAGAAAGACATGTCCCATCCACCGACAGTATGGATTATGGACGTGATGGGTTCGAGCCTTCTACCCTTTCCTTAACTGCGGATGATTGTGCTGAAAGCAATCTTTAACCTCGATGAACGCGATCCGTCAGCCTTGATTCAAATCAATGAGTGATAAAAACGGAAGAATATTAAGCCTCCGCCACATCCTCGCCCATAAACATGGCAACGTAAGTTGCCTGGTGAGCTGTCTGGGCGCGTTTCATCCGATTCATCCCGTCTTTTGTAGCGCAGCGCGAGACACTGCCGATGTTGCCACGGTCCTGCTCCGGACATGTTTGTTATCTTGACGCTCGTTTCGTGCTCTTTGGAATAATGCATGGGCATGACTGCTCTTTCTTTCTACCTGTAGGCCTAAAAAGCAAAACATGTTTGTAGTTACGAACCTGTATCTTGGCGGATGTTTTGTGGATATATTGGAGCTCTGGCGATAATGCGGCTGCTCGCAAATGCTGAATAAACCACATGTCGGTCCCACTTGTTCACAATCATCACATCTTCCCATTCGCTGACCCAGCAATCATTGGTTGGTTGAATTAGACCTTTCCTATAGTTTCGTGAAGTACCTCGAGAGCTTACGAGACCCCACCCACCCTTTAAACGGAGCACGAAATTTTATCATTTGATATGAATCATTGAAGTTTCAACTCCTCAATGACCTTTAGAGCCAACTGCATATCCACGCACTCAACATGAAAGGAAATGGAACGTCGACATCGCTCCCGCCGATTCTCGCAGCGTGTGACGAATCTCTTAGCTGGGATCCAGGTTCGAACTGACGGGTCTCCAATTACGTCCACAAAGGCGGACGCTGTCCAGCTGGTCTGCCCCATCCACGCCACAAGCCTGAAATCCACAGGCTTTGCAGCCCTTGTCTGTCTCGGCCATCTCGCGAGGCTGCGACAGTGGCGATCCGTTGTGCGCTCCTTGATTGCGCTGATTCTGCAGCCGACCTAGGGGGCTTTGCCATGGGAATCTCGAAGATCACGGGCTCTCTTAGACATTCCTAGTGGGGTCAAATGGTCATGATGGCGACTCATCACA